GCGACCTTCTGAAAATCCTACAAAGCGGGATTTGTTCAACCTTTTGGATCCTACTCAATGTCATGCTAATATTGTTGAGCGTTTTAGTAAGACATTACGTGCCGATCACATGGTTTCGGGGTGGTGGTGAGTTTGCTCATTCAATCCTCGAAATGATTTCTGCGAGCTGTCACTTTTTAGGAGGATTATCGCGTTAGCAATGTTGGGCCTAGTTGGATCTGCCTCTGTCGTTCTTCATGCCTTGCTAAGCCGTCGTAGGAAACGCGATGCTCTGTCACCATCTCTTTTATCGTCTACAGATTCGTCCGTTGTGGTGACTCTAGAAAAGGTCGCAAATCAGGGGATCTTCTGGTTTGATCGTTGAGGCAGTGAACTACATATTGTTTAATATCATTTTAGGTTAAAAGAGCGGAAACGCGATCGACTTCGGTTGGACCATCTGTGGGTTCCGCACCATCGTCAGATACTCCTACACCCAACGGACAGATTAGGCAACGCAGAACAACTTCAAGCCATGAAAGTGTTAGCGAAACATTCCACAGCAAGTTGGTCCAATGAACTCACTAAGTCAGTATCTTCCTTTTAATCAAAGGGACTTTTTCAGATTCCTTCAAGATTTTGAGCCAGTGAAACTGCTTGGACATGGGGGTTTTGGTGTAGTATTTGAAGCGATTAACCGACTTGATGAATGTCCTTATGCGGTCAAGCGCATTGCTGTTTCTAATAGGTAAAAATTCTTGTAATTCTGTCTTGTATGTGCAGTCACGCGCACTTTGGTTCTGAATTCCTTTCCAGTCCTACATCTCGATGACTCATATGACCATGCAAATCCATCCATAGTTTGATTTTACATAATTCTAGTGAACGTGCTATTCAAAGAGTTCTGCGCGAAGTGAGAGCTATGGCAAAACTGGATCATCCAAGTATAATCCGATATTATCACACGTGGATTGAGAGACCTCCAGATGGCTGGCAGGTATCAGGTTTTTTATTTATTTAAGAGGCAATTGCCGTTCTCTTCATAACTAAGATTTTTCGGAGGAACAAGATACCCTTATGCTGCGTGGCATGGCATCGCGTTCAACAACAAACGATTTGTTGGATGAGCTGATGGGTGAGAGCCACGAATCGTCATCAGTTGTTCCAGTTCCGCAGTCTGAAATTACATCTGAACCTTCACTGGAGTGAGTTGCTTGGTGCACGTTCGACCTGTCTAAAAATCTCACTTCCATGCTTGTGTATCATTGAAGTCTTCAATTTTAGGGTAGAAGCACCTGCCTTAAGCGAATGCACTGACGACGGTTCTTGGCTCGATGATGGGAATGACGAGGGTATGGCGGATCAGGAGGATCTTTCCGACAGCGATGATTCTGTTGATCCTGTGACAAGTGGTTAGCAACAAATCTGCTATTAGATTATGATTTTACTTTTTGCTTCCTCAGCACCGCAACATGTTACGAATGAAGAATCTGAGAGTGTTATATTTGCTGCTTTGAGTTCCGGAGATGCTTCTAAGGCTAAGGCGAAGGTTAATAATGAGTTAGCGCAGTTAGGGAAGAAGGTTGGTGATTTTCTGTCGTTTTTATTGATTTCCTTTGTTTTGTACTTTATCTATCTAATATTCGTTGGATATGGCTCAAAAAATGTATGTAGTTGGGACAGGAAACAATCAGTAAGTTATAATTCAAGATATGTAAGCCATAGTGAACTGTATTGATTTGACAATTGTTGTTTAAAATCCTTCGGAGTACTCCTCATGTTTAACTTGTTGTTTCAGTAATGAC